GTTTGAGTATTTTGGGGGTTTGGAATTGAGGTGTTACAGAGTATTAGTAGTGAAATCTTTGGCAATTCCAGCCTTAGGAATGGAAAGGGAATAAAGGCCTGTCCTGTGTCTCACACAGTAATAACAGTTGGACTCTGAGTCACTGAAGCACGCCTGCCGGGACCTGTTCTTGGCTCTAAGCTTTGCAGAACAGCTGCCAGAAGAATGCGTTTGTGCAGAGGGGTTTGAGGATTGTTTGTAACCCCTGGGTCAGAAGTTTACCTAGCCAGCAGTGTAAATGTGGTTAAACCTACATGGTAGTTCAAAGAGCTGCTTTACCTGAGCACTGGTCTGTCTTGACCTCTGCCAAGGTTGCCCACGTGGTGCCGTGTACTCTGAAATAACTGCTTCGTCTGAGAGTTTGAAAGTGAAATTAGTTATTTGACCAGTTTAAAAAGTATATAAGGTTTAAGATTGATTGACTTTTCATGAAGGAAAAATAGTATGTTTATTTTATTCCAACGAGATAGTTATTTATTTGTCCTCTTTCATGAAAGTTCTTAATTTATTAATCTTCTCACGAAAAGTCTGCACAGTCCCCACAGGTAGTCACTGAAAAGTCTTCCCTCCTTCTGTTGCGCCGTCTGCAGCTCGCTGTTGCCAGCATCAGCCTTTGCAGCCCCCTGACTGTCTTTGTTCTGTTCTTTGTGTTCCCCTCACTGTTTCCTCCAGGCTTCGTCTCATACAGACCAAGTCTTATGTTTGGGTTCATTTTTCTTTCCCTAATCTAAGGAACCCATAAATTGTGCCAAAGCCAGTTGTCTCACTACCACCACCAAAATGGGTTCTGAATCCAAGCACATCTGCTGTGGTCTTGTACATTTTGGCTAGTTCTTCCCGAATTTCTATCTTGGGAACTATTGCTTTCCCAGGACGAAGGACATCGGTGGCCGTTTGTTTTCCTGCAAGTAGTCTGTTGATCACGAACTTCCTTGTCTGGCTAGTTACCGTGTTGTTCAGGATGGCGGCTAATCCTCAAACAGCCAGGGAGGAAAATCCTCTCTCTTTCTTGATAGTTATTTTCTTTTAAATCAAAGTTTTCTCTCCGTAGGTACCAGAACTTAGGTTTCTTTGCATCAGTTAGGTTTTCTAGCCATTGGGTCCTGCACGGGCCAGAGCAAGGGGATCAGATCCGACGCAATGGCTTTTGCATCCTGGCTCCGGCATGTACCAGCTCAGGGCCTTAGAAAGTCAGGCGGCAGCTCTGCGCTGTTTCCTCACCCCTGGAGTGCGGGGGGGTGATCAGAACCAGCCCACGAGGCGGTGAGGACAGAAAGTGCCCGTGAGGTCCTGATCACAGAGTAGGTGCGGCTGTGTGGTCCTGCTACTCATTCAGAAAACGGGGTGCTATTCATGCAGCCAGTTTTTTGGGTACCTGCCAAAATCGAGATACAGAATCATGAAGGTACAAATGACTTGCTCCTGCGCCAGAAAACCTTACAGTTGAATACATCCCTTGGGCCTTCTGTTCTCTTGACCCAGATTTTGTTGGTGTGAATGGGACCGGGTCTGAGAGATTTGATTCTCTTAGTGGGTATGAAGATGCTCGCCCAGAGGTGCTGGAATTAATTCTGTCATTCTTCACATTCAGGGCCAGTCCTTTCATGTGTAATACGTGAAGTGCTGTATGGAACGCTATGCTAACGTCCTTGGCCTCAGATATATTTGTTTGTGAGATAAATAGGGGCTTTAGCAGCTGATTTCTTTAACAAATTCCTATCTCTAAAAATGAAAACTTCACCTGTCACCAGGTTACATTTTCCCCAACAATAACGATTTTTTTAAAAATCACAGTGGCATGTTAGCAAAACTTAGTTATGGTTTTTAAGTAACTTTTTCTTACTAGAGATGCAATACGTACATGTTTGTTATCAAAAACTTTAGAAAAAAAATTCCCCCCACTAAGAGCATGTGCCATCTCTGGTGATAGAAGCTGGCTTCTGGACGATTCTGTGGTTGGTTACTGTTGGCTGAATTGGCAAACACGGACGATGTGCTATGTGCACCAATTATTCTCATGCCAGATAAATGATACCCATGAATTCTGATTAAATGAAATGCCATGTGCAAATCCCTAGTACACCCCACAGAATTGATAGATTTTGTTTGACCTTACTGGTTTACATTGCTTTTTTTTGAATGAGTGTTTCTTTGACAGCCTTCCTTCAGTGGTCACTGTCCCTCCTCTCTTCGGTCCTGAGTGAGTTTCTTACCCGCAGGCTTGTTTCGTTGTTGTCTGCCTAATACTCTGAAGAGGGAAATTTCAGAACCCGGAACAGCATTTTTTATAGTCCCTTTTATTCCTTAACAGCAAGCAGAGCTGAACGTCATAACATACACTTTCTGACTTAGTATATCTTACGTACTTTCTTACTGACTCTAGGAAAATATATTCGTGAAGCTGGGCATTCAATAGCTAGGCCGACAACTTCCTGCTTACAACGGGACGCACGGTTGGATTACATGGTCATTGACGGTTCAGGGAATTAAGGCAAATCAGTTCTATACAAAACAAGCCCAATGACTAAGAAACAGAGGTTCATTTACTGTGGTTTTGTTGGTGGTGGTTAATATTGAATACACTTTGTCAGATTCCCCCCCCTTACATTTATTCTATATCTTTTATCTTTTGCTTGTGTGTACCCCAGCCAAGCCACCATTCAGCAATAAACCTGTTGAGTGACTTTTTCTTAATGTACCATTACTTGGCTACTGCCAAACGATACAACTGAAGGCTGTGATTTCTAGCCTTGCTAAAATAAGAATTTAGCTTTCTTTAGATAAACATTGAGTGAGATCTATATTTACAAGCTAACAGTTTTCATGTTTTTCAGAAACTTGTCACAGGATGTTGTTAGTACATTTGTTGGTGAAAATACTTCCTTGGCAGAATTACAGTGTTGCTTGTAGGCAGTCATTATGAAAGAGCCAAGTTTTATCATTTGTTTTCATTAGAAAATACAGTAATTTTTACCAAGAATCCCAAAACAATGATGCCTGCTTACTTCAGTGGCAGGTAGTGGGTTTGCAATAAAAAGTGTTGAAGTTATTGAAGAGGTATTTTTAGAAATACTGAAGGATTATAACCTCTAATTTGCTTTTTGGAGCATCAATAATACTCAAGCAGACTTGTATTTTTCACTTTCATTTATAACATTTCCTCAAATAGTCATGCTCATAAGTTGGGGGGAAGAGGAGGGAGCATTTACTGATTCATTCCTTTGCTATTTGGGTATCTCCATGGAAGAAGGTAAAGGGGAAGAGATCAGAAAGGGGCTAAGATTTGAGTACATGTACAGATTGGAAAACATTCACTTTTAATATTTAGGTTGATCATAAACTACACTGCCTAGAGATCAGAATTGCTGTAATTTTGAGGAAGTGAACTGAGTTTTTAAAAAATTTTAGTCAGACGAAGGCGATGGGGGGGGCAAGGGGGAGCTATGAAAGAGAAACATCACATCAACTGGTTGCCTCCCATATGCACCCCAACCGGGGAATCAAACCCACAACCTGGGTGTGTGCCCTGATTGGGAATTGAACCTACCACCTTTTGGTGAATGGGCTGATGCCCAACCAAATGAGCCACCTGGCTAGGGCTTCAGATACAGCACTTAAGTGCCTGGCACTGTTTTAAGCATTGTACAAATATTCGTTCATCTACTGTTATTTAATGGTTAATCATTCTAGTTGTTAGAGAATATAGAAGGAAATTATTTGAGTGTATCTATTGTCTCCCC